GGGGGGCTTCCCGGGGGAGTGGGGGGGCGTCTGTTCGGGGCTGCTGCTGAAATTCATTAAAACATCCGTGGACCGGCAGCGCAGCGGCGCGGGGATGGCGACCCGGCTGGAAGGGCAGTTGCTGACAGGCAGGACTGCGGGCAGGGGGCACTTTGCCTGTCATGAAACTGCCGCGTTCTGGGGAGATCACTTACAGTCCGTATTACACGCCCCGAATCCCAGCCCGAGGGAGGACGCTTCCTCCCGGTGCTGCGAGCCAGGAAGCAAAGTGGCAGGCTGGCTTTGGCGAGTAGTCCTTTCCTCGCCTGCTTCCCTGCCTGCTGCTTCCAGGACAGCGAGCGCTGCCTTCCGTGGGGCTATCAGTCCGCCCTGAGCGTCCCAGAAAGTGCTACACGGGGCGGTCGCGCTCCGGAGGCAGATGCCGTGGTGGCCTGCGGGATGCGCTCTGCGCTGGGGGGAAACAGGGTGTGTGTTCATCGAAGAGAAAGAGTAAATTGTTAAGACATTTCCGTGTCTTAGATTCTGCTTGTATATTACGGGAGGAACCCACAGCCTGCCCCATCGTTACGATTAAAGCCTTGGTTATTAGTGACACCATGGCTAATAACCAAAAAAAAAAAAAAAAAAAATCCCCCCCCAAACCAGAGAGGAAAACCGTTTCCCTTCAGTCCAGAAGCGATGTCTCAGAGCTGCGGTGAGCCGCAGCTTGCAAGCTGTCATGTCAGCTTGCAGAAATGCCCTGAGCACCCGGGACGCTCGGTGCTTTGCAGATGCTCCGTTTGGTTTTGAGCCTGCCCGAAGCCAGACCTCTCCCGGGGGGTGCCCGGCATCAGAACTGCGCGGCCAGGCCAGCGTCACCGCGCTGTGCCCCGGCGCCAGGCTGAGGGCTGGAGCTCTGGCATTCCCTCCTCTCTCCCAATTTGCGCTTTTTATCCAGAAGACAAATGAAATTAAACAACCCTAACTGTGACACTTCTTGCTAATGCCAGCAGGTATCCTTTTGGAGTCTAAACCACTGCTTTACTCCCGCAGTACAACTGAGAATATATATATATATATATATATATATATATATATAAAACTGCTGAGGAAATGCATTTGGTGAAAACCTGGTGCCCAGGAAGCATGTGGCTGGTCTGTCTGTGACTGTGGTGGGGTGAGAATTGCTGGTGGTGACGATGCTGGTCAAGTGCAGCTGGCAGCAGAGGTTGTTCTTCCTCCCCAGTGCAGGCCAGTGTTACTGCTTTCAGAGTGGATGCACCCCAGGTGGATACTGGTGATCCTGGGAACAGACCTTTGGTGGGACAGTGTTGGTGGGACCCCACTTGCCCAGCATCATTCTGTGTTGCTAGTCAGAGCAACTACCTAATACTCTGGTTTTGAGTTTGAATTTGGCTTGAATACAGGCATTTGCTTATTTAAGTGAACAGAACAAAGCAAAAAATGCGTTTTTTTCTTCCAGTGGGTAATTTTTCTCAATGGGAGCTCTACCACAGCAGTCCCTCTTGGGCGTCTGGCCGTGGCTGTGCTGCAGGCGCCTGCATCGGTCTGCCCAGTGCTAAAACAAGATAACATGGCCAAGGCAAGCCTGGGATAACTGCTTGAATGAGGTGAGGTGCGAAACAGGGTGGACAAAGGCAATGGACAAATGCAGGAGCCAATCTCCTCATACCTCACCCAGATACTGATGGCCAAAGACTGAACAGGGATCTTGCAGGGCCCTCCTGGGTCACATGCTGCCCTCCCTTGCTGTTTCAGTTGTATCAATATCCCATGTGTTTTTCAGGCTTCACTTTGGGCTGCTTCTGTGGGTTCTGCTGAAACCCATCCCAGACCTCTTTGCTATGAAAATCAGAAATCTTTTCATCCCCAGCCTGAATATATCACTGTCTTCTTTACAGCTCCACCACTTTCGACTTGGAGCTTTCACAAGGTTTTTTTCCGTTTTTCCCCCCTTTCACATCTCTCTCAGTAGCGGTTATATCCCCTTCAGCCCCTGTTCTGGTCATCTAAATAAGACCAACTTTTGGTAGTTTCCTCTCATAAGATAAATCCTCCTATCTTTTACTGCTGTAGTCGTCCTTTATTGTACTAGTCTCAGTTCCTCTGAAAGGGGGGGGAGAAGGTTTTCAGAGTCATGGCTGGGATTTCAGGCTTAAGATCAATATGCCTTTTGTTTCAAAACCCAATTCGGAGGGCTTTTAAGAACATATCTGATCATTACAGCGAGCATCTCAAAGTTTGGAGCCGAAGCCTGTTATTCAGCTACAAAACAACAACTCTGCTGACTCCAAGAACTTGTACGAACATTTTTAATCACAGGAGGGAATCTAAGAGGCATTCAAACAACAGATAAGATTAGTAATGAAAGTGGCTGGGATGCAATTGTTATTGTGCAAGTCAAAGAAAAGGCTGTCACACACAGAGTATGTTGCCAAGAAAGATACTTTGAGTTGCTGAGCCATTCTTCTCTCATCTGCTGTCCGAATTCTCCAGTCTTCCCAGATCTATTGAGGCTTAGTTGGGCAATCTGTTGGATTAGGAGGTGACTGAGTTTAGAGTTGCCATTGAACACCGCTTTTTGCCAGGATGTGTCAGATCTTTGCCTTGTTCCAGTCCTTGTTCAACTCTCCCACCATGGAAAAGGAAGCATATCCTGGTCCAGAGTATTTCCTGAGCTGTGATGGGCCTTGGAGAAATAAAGCAATCAGAAATAAAGCAATCAAAGCAAAGTTGCATCTATTGGAGCCAGAGCAAATAGAAAGCAGTTACAGCTGTGTGGGGATGTCTGAAGTTGTGCAAAGGCTTAGACCAGCCCCCAAACTGGAGCATATAACAGGATGGTGAAAGCTTCCTTTCCTTTCCATCTGGGTCCTCTTCAGAGTGTGCCTTTGGAGAGAGGAGTTCAGCATGGCTTGTGCACTGTCTGCAAGGCGCTGGTTGCCCTGTGAACAAGCCCCATCGTGTGCAGCGAACAAGAAACTAGCACACCACATATGTAAGTCATTTACGAAGATGGGAACGATGAACTGTACACACAATAGAGTTGCTATTAGGTCTGTCGATCCTAATTAAAAAAAAATACTTCTCAATGAAAATTATTTATAAAAAGAAATCACAGTGACCCTAAATCAAATTATTTGTGAGTGGTTTTTAGTCTCCCAGATCTGTTAAAACTTCTGTGGTAGTCACTGGACGTCATCCAAACTACATGCTGAATGAATAACATGTCTGCCAAATTTCTTTTTTTTTTTCACCCTCACCCAGTTTGGCACAGGACAATTAAAGTCATTTTTCTAAATATCTTTCAGAACATCAAGCAACTGTAAAACAACAATGAAAAAGCTTGGCCACGGTTAACTACAGCCCTCCAGTTGTAACTGCTTCTCTCAAAAAAAGTCACTTCAGTCCCTTTGATGATCTGTTTTGGGTGAGCACTGAGGCAGGGTTTCCCCCTGTGGGGATACTGGAGGGCCACTACCCCAGGGGTCACCTTGCCAGGGCGTGGGGCACAGCTGGAACCAGGCTGACCCTGGGTACGGGGTTTGTGTCTTTCTGGCCACCTGCTAGAGGCTGACATCCTGAGGACATATCAGCCATTCCTCGTCCACAGCTGCAATTCCCATAGTGAGCTGTAAAGATGCCTCTTTTGCTTGCTCTTAAAAAGAAAAGGGGGGGAAAAAAGGGTGACTGCACAATGGAAGAACAAGGTTTTGCTTCTTGGGTCTACAAAGATAAAGCATTAATTCTAAGCACCGCATGAAGTCCCATCCAAGTGAATTAAGTTTGGGATTGTTTTCATGATGGCTTGTTCCAATTATGTGGTGTGCTTTCTCTTTTCCCTTGACTGGCCCGCAACTGTCCTTACTATCCTCATGATAAGAAGATGCTTCATCCTCATCAGTTCTTTCTGACCATGGAGGACTCTGTGGTGTCATCACCTGCAGCAAGGGAGGATCCTTGCCAGTTCTTGGTTCCCAGTGAAGTTAGAGGGAAGCATAGTTCTCCAGCTCGCCACATAATCCAGCTGGTTGCTGTTGTGTTGAAAAGCAGCAACAAATGGCCACTAAATGATAATGTTGCTGCTTGCAGTGACAACAATTGATAAAACCAGTGCTCTCTGCTCCTTGTGTCCTAAGGAGGAGGAAGGAGTAGAGCCCAGCATCATGTACAGTAGTTAGCAAAGGTTATGCAACCCCTAAATGTGACCATGCCCTGGTCCAACACCCCAGGTGGAACAGGGCTATGCTCACCCTGCTTTACCACAGCCTGACTCCTGGTATCCAGCTGGCTTGTTTGCCTCTAATCGAAGCGGTGTGATGCCTGGCTGTGCTTCCTGCTTCCCTTCCCACTTCCCAAGCCCACAGCATTGCCTGGGAAGATGGTCTGTCCACAGGGGTGTCCGGGAGGATGGGCATAGCTGGCTTGGTGGCACAGCTGTCTCTGGCTCATCCTTTTATTAGGATGAGGGCACTCCTGTGTCTTTCGCTGCACAATTCCTGTTCTCATGCTGCCTTGCTGGTGTCTCCAGAGCTGTGTCCAGATGGTCCTGGGGTGCCGTTCCTGCAGCCATGACTCCAGGTCCTTGACTTACACAGCAAGCCAACTGCCAGTTGCCTCTCTGGTCTTGCTGTTCTTCCTGGGCTTATGGGCACGCTGGGGTTTGTGAGCTATGAATCCGTTCCCTCAAGGCACATTTTGGAAAGTGCACTTTAGAAAGCACTGG